ATGTGAAACTAAGTTCTGTCCTAATTTTGCGTTTCCACTTTTCTTCACGTTAGCTGTTCAAAGGGGAACAAATATAAATGGCGTGAAAAGCTGTCATCTTTGTCAGCAAATACGAGACAAATTTTTCAGATTGCAGAAGAAAATCTTTTGCTTCAAAAGGAAATCAAATCAGTAGCTGGCAAATTGCAGCGATCATTTACTGTTGTGGAAGGCAGGCTGTACAATGTAATTCATTTCATTATGCTTCGAAATGCTTCGGCATATGCACAGTATAAAGCTTGTTCGTTTCATGTATGTTTGGAATGTTTGGATCAGCTGGAATTCGTAGTCCGGTTCATCAGCCATCCAGCTAGCAGTTTTTTCAGTTTGATTGACTACCTAGCGCTTATTAGCGACCCTGACATTTTACATAAATAATTGAAAGTATTAATTTCATTTAATAACAAGAATATTAAAACCGCCCTGGTTATCAGTGTGGGTACTGCACGTTAGTGATATTACTGGGATGCATTAGCATACCATGCACAGCTATAGCAGGCGTTCGATTTAATAACTGATTTAAAACAGTGCAGTTCTTCAAGTATTTTTATGCGTTTTTGCTGTGCAACACTATAGTACAGCAAAAACGCATATTGTCGAGAGACTGCCTGGTGTGCGTGTGTGTGTGTGTGTGTGTGTGTGTATGCGTGTGTATGCGTGCGGAAGTGAGTGCATTTTGTCACCCACTTTTATCTCAGCAGCCAGGAAAGCTGGGAGGGTGAAATTTCGGATATATGTTCCTACCCCGTGTGTCACCCTCCCATCTTAAGGTCTTCCCTCGCACGCGCCTGGACCCCGCGTGCGGACCTCCCCCTCCCTTTTTCCTTCCCAAAAAAATATGCAAATTTCTTTGGCGGGAAGCGATTTCGCGAACCAGGCAAGATACAAAGCTGCAACTTTGCAGGGATTTTCTCCGCGTATGCGCGAGCTAAAGATTTCAAATTCAGCTGCCGCGCTTGCCTGTGCAGCGCATACGACCACATCAAAGTTTGCGACTTGCTAACTCGAAAACTCGCTGGCTGAAATTTTGTCAGGATGTTTGTTTCCCATATAGAAAATAGTGTACCTAGAACGAGTACCGATTTGCACTTACGCCACGACTTAGGACACTTCAAAGATATTTGTAGCGAAGTGGATATTTCGCTTGCCAGATAAGTTGCGAGGCTGAAAATTCGCTGGGGTATTCTGCTTTCAAGTGCGGTCTTAATTCTGCTTGAAGGTAGAATCCCTTCCAGGAGGCGTGAGAAATACTCAACTTTATCGAAAAATCAGGAACGAGTGCGTTTTGCAGCGAACAACCGCCCTCATCCAAATATGTAAATGAACATTAATTCATTTGCATACTTGGATTTTTTCACAAAAGACCGCTTGAGCAATACTTCCACTTTTTAGTGAACTGGAAATTTGCATTTTTCCAAAAAATTTGTAGTTTCATTTTTTCAAAAAGCTAGCATTTACTGGAAAAACGACCGAGCTTCATGCGAGAAACTGGTAATCATGTAACAGCGGGTCCATGCGGCTTTATAACGCAACACCCTCATCCCAACCAATGCCCATTTTGCTGCATGCCGGATGAAACCAAAGCATGGCCAATATGAGCCCAAGTGTTTGACTGCAGCGTAGGGATTATTCTTGCTATTAACGACCCGCGAGTTTAGTGCAAAAACGCATGATCGCACCGGCAAGCCTAATGCGTTCCAGCCTGGGTTGTATA